ATCTATATATCTATTATCTATCTATCTATCTATCTATCTATCTATCTATCTATCTATCTATCTATCTATCTATCTATCTATCTATCTATCTATTATCTTGTTCTGCCAGGCTGCTGCTTGGATAAGGGATCTGTTAAGGGATTCTATCTATCTGTCTGTCTGTCTATTTATCTATATATCTATCTATCTACCTGTGATCTATCCTGGGGGATTAAATAGAGGGGGATTTTGAATATAATTATTGATCTGCACTATTATCTATCTATCTATCTATCTATCTATCTATCTATCTATCTATCTATCTATCTATCATCTATCTATCTATCTATCTATCTATCTATCTATCTATGATCTATCTATCTATGATCTATCTATGATCTATCTATCTATCTATCTATCTATCTATCTATCTATCTATCTATCTATCTATCTATCTATCTATCTATCTATCTATCTATCTATCTATCTATCTATCTTTCCATATATGTATCTATTTGTCTGTTTGTGTCTTTAATTGCACAAACTTTGAGTTTTTAAGTTTGATGAACCTAAAAGGACTGAACGTTATCACACGTTTGATGTGATGAATCTTGTCATTTAGACATAACAGGATGGTAATTATGGACACTAATTAAGATGCTAAAATTGGATACTGTAAACTCCTGAGACGGTACCTGGGAATCATTGAACCGTGTACTCGCTACAAGAGGCGTGAATGGATTTATGACATGACGCAGCACATATACTTATATAGGGTTACTGTACAGCTTTACACTATATATATATGTTGTAACACCGTGACACGACGGCAGAGGCTCAGAACTTCTGTGTCCCAGAATCTTTTCATATCAGCCTCTGACTTCCTTCAACCATCACCTGTGAGTATAGAAGAGAATGTTCCGGATGATCGCTCTTTATCTGTACAGCACCAAAGTGAACCTTTACATTCTGGAGGAATCACAACATAAACACACAAGTATTGATATCATGTAGAAAACATTTAAAGGATACGTCCACTTTTAGTTCATTCATTCTTCTCTGACCCCTTTCCCTTCCCCCAGCACTTTCAGAATGGGTTAGACTTCCCGACCACCTTACCCGGCCCCTCTGAGATCTGCACTGTGCGTCCTGCATACCGCAACACAAACCTGGCCCGAAAGCTCCCTGTGCGTGTTCAACCTTCATCCACCTCAATGGAAAGTTGAAGGTGAATGTTGAAGGCTGCAGCGCTCATGTACTGTATTTTTCTTTCTCTATATTTTTTCTTTCTCTCCTTTTTATTTACCTCTCTTTTAATTTTTTTTTCTCTCTCTTTTTATTTCTCTCTCTCTCTTATTCCTCTCTCTCTCTTATTCCTCTCTCTCTTTTTGTTTCTCTCTCTTATTCCTCTCTCTCTTTTTATTTCCCTCTGTCTCTTTTTTCTTTTTCTCTCTCTTTTTCCCCCTCTCTTTCTCTTTTTTTCTCTCTCTCTCTCTCGTTATTCCTCTCTCTCTTTTTATTTCCCTCTGTCTCTTTTCTTTCCCCCCCCCTCTCTTTCTTTTTTCTCTCTCTCTTGTAATTCCTCTCTCTCTTAATCCTCTCTTTCTTTTAATTTTTCTCTCTCTTTGTATTCCTCTCTCTTTTTATTTTTTTCTCTTTCTTTTTAGTTCCCCCTGTCTCTCTTTTTTTTATTTCTCTCTCTTTTTTTTCTCTCTCTCTCTTATTCCTCTCTCTCTTTTTTATTTCCCTCTGTCTCTTTTTTTATTTCTCTCTCTCTTTTTCCCCCTCTTTCTCTCTTTTCATTCCTCTCTATCTTTTCAATTTTTTATTTCTCTCTTTATTCCTTTCTTTTTATTTTTCTCTCTCTCTTTTTATTCCTCTCTTTTTCCCTCTCGTTTTCTTTTTCTCTCTCTCTCTTTTTATTCCTTTCCCTCTCTCTCTTTTTCTTTTTAGTTCCCCTGTCTCTTTTTTTATTTCTCTCTCTTTTTATTTCTCTCTCTTTTATATATTTCTCTCTCTTTTTATTTACCTTTCATTTTATTCCCCCCCTCTTTTTATTTCTCTCTCTTTTCATCCCTCTCTATCTTTTCAATTTTTTCTCTCTCTCTTTATTCCTTTCTTTTTTTTTCTCTCTCTTTTTATTCCTCTCTTTTTCCCTCTCGTTTTCTTTTTATTCCTTTCCCTCTCTCTCTTTTTATTTTTTATTTTTAGTTCCCCTGTCTCTTTTTTTATTTCTCTCTCGTTTTATTTTTCTCTCTCTCTTTTATATCTATCTCTCTCTTTTTATTTACCTTCCATTTTATTCCCCCCTCTTTTTATTTCTCTCTCTTTTCATTCCTCTCTATCTTTTCAATTTTTTCTCTCACTCTTAATTCATTTCTTGTTATTTTTCCCCCTCTCTTTTTATTCCCCTCTTTTTCCCTCTCGTTTTCTTTTTCTCTCTCTTTTTATTCCTTTCCCTCTCTCTCTTTTTATTCCATTTTCTCTTTTTTTTTTCTCTCTCTCTTTATTTCCCTCGGTCTCTCTTTTTTATTTCTCTCTCTCTTTTTATTACTCTCTTTTATTTTTCTCGTTTTATTCCTCTCTCTCTTTTTATTTTTCTCCCTCTCTCTTTTTATTCCCCTTTCTCTATTTTAATTTCTCTTTCTCTGTCTCTTTTTGTTTTTCCCTCTCTCTTTTTTTATTTCCTCTCTCTTTTTAATTCTGTCTATTTTTTTAGTTTTCTCTCTTTTTTTTATCCCCCCCCCTCTCTCTCTCTCTCGCTTTTTATTTGCTTTCATCTTTCTCTCTCTCTTTATTTCTCTCTCTCTTTTTATTTCCCTCTGTCTCTCTTTTTTATTTCTTTCTCTTTTTTTATTACTCTTTCTCTTTTTATTTGTATTTCTCTTTTTATTCCTCTCTCTCTCTATGTAGACAGTTGTTTCCAGGACAAGTGTCCTGAATGAAGTGTGAACCCTCTTTAGCTTTTCTGGTGACAACTCAATAGTTTGGATTTGGCCTCACTCATTTTTAGTCCCGGTGACACTATGGTGGACCTTTTGAAGGGGCCGGCAGTGAATCTTAACAGACTATAAAATGCACCCGACTATTTTTGAATGCACTGCACCACCCAGCAGAGTATGGGGGTTGTGGTCATCTTTAGTATGGTTACATTGCTTCTTATTGTAATAGTGCATTGAGGTGCCAGTGAAAGTGAATGGTGCTACAATGCAGTTCGCACATTGATGTGACTTGCTCTATAGTGCAAACAATATGTGCAATTTACGGAAGTTACTCGTAGTACTCGTAGTCACCCAAATGCTCCCGATACTTATCCCGATACCGGAACTTCCGGTATCAGGAAGCCGGAAGGCGAGTCACTAAACGCCGCCTGGCTTCCTGATTAGCCGGAAGTTGGATCCATGCTCCCTCATCCCTTGGTGACAAGGGAGCATGGAGCCGGCATCCCAACCAATAAAGAAGCCCGACGGAGTGTAATGACTCGCCACCCAGGTTCCTGATTGGTCCGGAAACTGGCTCTATGCTTCGTCACCTGGTGATGAGGGAGCATAGAAGACGGCTTCCCAGTGAATTAGGAAGCTGTGTGGCAAGTCATTACATGCCGCCCAGCTTCCTTAATGGGACTTCCAGTATCAGTATTTGGTATCGAAATTTTTTTTTGCTGCTCGTACTAGATACTGTAAAAACGGCGTTGGTGCATCCCTAATACACAACATGAATCTCTGATTTAAAGCTCGCGTCTCAGACCATTTTTGCCCACTATAGTCCTATACCTCTGCATGCTTAGACTGCTCTTTTCTCTCAGTGTAAATATGCTTCCTGAACTCCCCCTCCAGCCCCCTCTATGTTTGCATAGCTGAATCACAATGTCCTCACACTGACTTGTATTGCACAGGAAGAGAGGGGGCATGACTGACCAGGTATGTTAGATTACAGAGAGCACTGGGCAGAGCAGCCAAAATCTGGTGCCCATTGGTCATATTTAGAAGCACTGCACAACTGCTGTCTGTCTAAATAAATATACACCTCCTGGCCAAAACAAAAGTCACCACCGGGATTTAACTAAGCAAACAGGTGAGAACCATGGATTGGATAAGTGTTATGATCTGGGGTTGCTTCAGTTGGTCAGGTCTAGGGTCAGCAACATTATGTGCCCAAAAAATGAGGTCAGCTGACTCCCTGAATATACTGAATGACCAGGTTTTTCCATCAATTAATTTTTTCTTCCCTGATGGCACATTGGACATATTCCAAGATGACAATGCTAGGATTCACCAGGCTCAGATTGTGAAAGAGTGGTTCAGGGAGCATGAGACATCATTGTCACACATGGATTGGCCACCACCACAGAGTCCAGGCCTTAACCCCATTGAGAATCTTTGGGATGTGCTGGAGAAGACTTTACACAGAGTCCTGAGTCACCCATCATCACTACAAGATCTTGGTGAAAAATGAATGCAACTCTGGACGGAAATAAATGTTGTGACATTGAATAAGATTATCGAAATTATGCCACGGTGAATGTGTGCTTTAATCAAATCTAAAAGTGATCCAATGAAATATTAGAGTGTGTGACTTTTTTTTGGCCAGGCAGTGTATATTTCTTTGATATTTTGGGGGTTTTGCATAGAGTGTGGGAGGCTCTGAACCTCCATGTCCATGTTTCCACCAAGTGGAAAACCCTTATCTTTTGGCTTTGGTGACCATTGTCATCCCAAATTGTGAACATCCCAAATTTTGAATTAACATTGGAGCAGGCAAAGGAGACTTGGTGACAACTAAGAGAGGATTTCCCATTCCTTGGAAAGATGTTGTAAAAGAAAAAGGTTTGTCTTTTAATGCAAAGTGTGCTAGAAGTGGACGGAGGTATAAAGCAGCGAGTAGAGGGTTCAATGAAAATATTGATTGCTTTATGTGGTTCCTCTCACAGCTCATACACTATTATTACTTCTATTGTATAGTCTTCCTTTCATACTGTACCATTGTTTCTTCCAGGTGTAGACTACCAGCGTAGTTCTACAATGGCAAATTCTACTTTTCTCTCCACCAACCTTACAAATACGTCCTTGGACACAACTGCTGCCATTGTACACATGACTTGCTTCATCATCATAGTACTGAGTCATTGCACCTTCCTCTATTTCGTTATCATCATACTTCGCGTCTTCTTCACCTCCGCTAACATCAGGGAGACGGCTCGTTATGTCCTCTTCATCCACATGATTCTTAATGATACCCTGTATCTCATAATGGCCTTTGTCCTTTACGTAGCTTCCGTCTATTATGTTTACATCCCAGTCCCGTTCTGCTACATCATGTTGACAATAAGCACATCGACTTTCCGTGTTACTCCCTACAATCTCGCGGTCATGTCTCTGGAACGCTACGTGGCAGTGTGCTATCCGCTGAGTCACTCTCAGCTGTGCTCTCCAAGGAGGTCCACCATCACCCTTGCTTTAATTTGGACAGTGGCGTTATTATTTAACCTGGCGGACATTGTTGTCCTGGGCTCAAAGGTTGGGAAGAACTTCTTCTCTCTGTCTGTGATTTGCAGCCGGGCGTCAATGACGAGGACCACGGAACAAGGAACCATTACACTCTGTAGCCTCAGTATGAGCTTCTCCGCTGTGGGTCTCATTATCCTCTACACTTATATCCAGGTGGTGCTGGTTGCTCGAAAGATCGGTTCTGGCAAGTCATCGGCTTTTAAGGCTGGAAAGACGATCATGCTTCATGCATTCCAGTTGATGTTATGTATGATGTCCTTCACCTCTTCTGTCACTGAAACCTACTTGAGACGCTATCAAGCCTTTATCGGTATTATTAATTATCTGCTCTTCATGTGTCTGCCACGACTTCTAAGCCCATTAATCTATGGACTGAGGGATGATACTTTCCGCAAATATATGATAACGTTCCGATCTGCAGCACTCTGAATCCAAGGAGGGTTATAAATACACTAATATCTGTGATCATTTTTGTTTTATGAATAAAATCCTGAATGTATTAAAAGCCTTAAAGCGTTTAATAGAATATTGTCTTTCTTTTGCTAGATTGTGGCGTCATTAACATAATATGCAGCCAGGTTACACCTGTTCTTCAGTCTCTCTAAAACTGAAAGTGCTGCCATTGTTCTTGTTAAGACAATCCTTTAAGACATTCCAGATAGCTCAGTTTGTTGTGGAGTGCGAGGGGGCACGGCGGTGTGTTGAAGTGAATGGCACCGCAGCCACACCCTCTGGCCGCAATGCGATCGGCCGTACGGGAAGGCAAGGCACATCAATGCCTGCGGTCCGGTCCAGTCAGAAAAAATGCTGCAAGCACTATTTTTTCTGACCGGACCGCAGCCATTGATGTGCCTTGCGTTCCTGCGCGGCTGATCTCATTGCGGCCATAGGGCGTGGCTGCGGTACCATTCACTTCAACACACCGTTGCGCCTCCTCCTGCCCCACAGCAAACTGAGCTAGCCGCAATGCGATCCAATGCGTTCCGGACACAATAGGACCGGAACGCACTGAGGATGGTGTGAATGAGGCATTAGAAATCTTAACTGCGCAGCCCCTTAACTATGCTATCAGCTCCTACTCAAGCCAATAGCCTACCTGCTTCTGGCTCTTCAGGTATAGTCCCAATGTGCAGACTGGGAGGAGTGTCTAAAGCTGCAGGCGGGGGGGGGCAGTCAAATATGCTGAAGAGAGGGAGGAGCTGCTAGTGTCACTAGTGCTGGATGCAATGGACAATGAAAAAGACTGCGGAGGGGCGTGCCGAGGGGGCGGGGCGTACCAA